ACATATATATTATATATATTATATACATATGTATACATTTAATTCCTTCATCAACTATCTATAGAAGCGCATCTGTTATTTAGATTGCGTTCCAAATCCTCGACATTTAAGCGCAACCTTTCTTCCGTTCAAATATGTTTTATCCGCATTTTCCTGCCCCACACAAACACACACAGAGGGAGCGTGGCGCGTGCCAGAATATTGTGATTTTCCGCAACTGCAAACTGCATTTCCTTTCACCTTTTACCTTCGAGCTTCAGCAGGTGCAGCTCGTCATGGCGTGCACGTCGCACTCGTAACTCGCTGTTGGTCCAAGTCGGGACTAGCAATTATAGTGGCACATGGCCAACCTAACTAAATACTGAGCTCGGCCAGCATTTCGCAACTTGCTCGCTCTCACTCTAACTCCTACTTTCTCTCTCTCTCTCTCTGTTGCTCTGAGATTTGTAGGACTAATTTAGCGTGGCATACTTTTAGGCGTTATATACATAATTTTCACTTTGAGCGACAAATTAATGGGCGTTAATGCTGCCAGCACACACAACACCCTCCGGCCCAGACTAACTCCCGCACAGACTCAGCCAATAGCCAGCTGCTGCTTTGTCTAACACTTGTGTGGTGTAAAATGGGGCTTTGGTGGGTTAGCTGAGCTTCCTGTGTTCTGCGCAACGGATGCTGCGGCCAGCGGCTCCGCTGGGAGACTGCCTGGCAGCTGCGTCAAGCGGAAAATTAGGCAACAGCTTGGGCGGCGGCCTTTGAATTAATGCACACAAAATCCCAGTGAGGAACTGACAGACGGATGGACGGACTGACACGGCGCACCGACTGACAAACTGACTGACAGCTTAAGCGGCTAGCGTCGAGTGCCATTGAAAACGCAATTTGGATGCCAATTGATGTGCAGAACCGTTCATTAAGCAATCAATTGGCAATCGGCAATCGGCTTGCCACTTGAGTTCTTTTTGGCCATTAAACAACCGTTTGAATATCCCGCTTTATTTTCTGTGCCTCTTTGCAGATCATTCGCGAACGACTTCCCGATTATCCGGTGCGCAGCAGCCTCGTCTGGAACTCGGCGCCCGGCGCCCTCCTCACGCTGCCCACATTCGCCGATAGTTCGAGGTAAGATGCCAGCGATGCTTTGAGCACCATGGTGGTGGCCATTGCGTTGGGCCGGCAAAGTGTGCCTAATTAAATTTACATTCCCCAACCATTTTGGGGCAAAGGGTCGTTGTAGACGAAGACGGGAGCGGGGGCGTGCATTGAAGTGTTTCGCCATTAACCTAATTGCCTTTCCCGTTTCAGATTTATGCCCTTTCTGTTGAATGCGATGGGCGTGGAGCCGCGTCACAACTACACGGCCGTTATCTATGTGCAAATTGGCGCCGCCCTCGGCCCCAATGCGGCGCTCTACAAACTAGTCAGGACCATTACGAAGAGCCAATTTGTGGATAGAGTAAGTATCAACATGGTAACACGCAACATAATGGAAAACTTCAAGCCAATCTCAAGTGGAGCGCATAGAGATGAGTGAACTGCAAATTGGTTCATCGATAGCTGCTATCATTGTTATCGCTTGATCTGCTGCTTAAATTAGTTCATTCCTTAAGAACTAATTCGACAAACCAATTCAATTACACTTATCGATAATTTCTTCACGAATTTAAATTGAATAAATTAAGCAAATCGACAGCGCTAACACTGTTAAAGCAAATCGAGCTATCGATATTGCGCTGTTATTTAAAACTTGAAGTAAATTGTTTGCTGCTGCTAAATCGGAAATATTAATTACCACTAATTAATCAATCCATTTACTTTCTCACCTCTAGATACTTATCCTGTGGGCAGCCGATCGGCCGCTTCCACTTAAGAAACGTTGGCCGCCCACCTATCACATACCTCTGCACGTGATTGCCCTGGGGGGCAGTAGTCGAGGGGCGGCAGCGTCGCCCACGGGGCAAACGGGGCCGGAGGCACGACCGAGCATATCGCAGCGATTTCTGCCCTACGAGGAAATCCAAACGGATGCTGTGCTCTCACTCGACGAGGATGCAATACTCAACACGGATGAACTGGACTTTGCCTACACGGTCTGGCGTGACTTTCCGGAACGCATTGTAGGCTATCCGGCTCGAGCGCATTTCTGGGATGACTCCAAGGTGAGCTGTGTGGCAGCACGATTGATGGCGATTGGATTTTTCAATAATCAAATTGGATTTGGGAATTTGCAGAATGCCTGGGGCTATACGTCCAAGTGGACGAACTACTATTCGATTGTACTGACGGGTGCGGCGTTTTATCATCGCTACTACAACTACTTGTACACCAATTGGCTGTCGTTGCTGTTATTAAAGACTGTACAGCAGTCCTCCAACTGCGAGGATATCCTAATGAACCTGCTGGTCTCGCACGTGACCAGAAAACCGCCGATCAAAGTGACACAGCGCAAGGGTTACAAGGATCATGAGACGGCTCGCTCGCCCTGGAATGATCCCGATCATTTCATACAGCGACAGAGCTGCCTCAACACATTCGCAGCGGTATTTGGGTGAGTAGAATCGTTATCTGGCTCTCTCTTTGCTCAACTCAATTCATCTAAGAATTTCCATTTTAGATCTAAGATTTGTATTAAGCAGTTTTATATATTCCCTGTCTTCTTTCTCTTTCTATTCACAGCTACATGCCGCTCATACGTTCCAACTTGCGCATGGATCCCATGCTATATCGTGATCCAGTCTCCAATTTGCGTAAAAAGTATCGCCAGATCGAGTTGGTTGGCAGCTAGCGGTATATGCAAATTGGCAATAGCTACAAGCGTTAAGAGTACTGAGATTCCCTACCCGCACGTGTACACACCAACACAAGCAAACAAAAACGCGCCTACACACACAAACACCCACACATACATACGGACTTCATAAACTGCTGTTTATTGACGCTGCGAAGCGCCGCAAAAACTATGTTAATTATTATTAGTAGCAAAAATTAGTTAGGATTTATGAAGCGTATATATTTATGTATATGTAACAAAATAGCATTCAGCGTTGCAATTATATATATATTTATAATGCATATTGTATACACTCACACACACACCCACACAGCAGATTTGTATATGTACATAAATAGAAGAACTCTGATTAGGCCTAGTTAAGTTGTGCGACCTGCCCCGGGCGCAGTGAGCGAGCGGAATGCCATTTTTTGCTAATTTCAAATTAGCGCTGCAAGTTTTCGATATACATATATACGATATATAGATATATATATACACATAATTACATATACATACCTATATGTGCATAAGTAGCTGATTTTGTACGCGTTTGATTTTTGTATGTGTGTAAATGTTTTGTATATGTATGTATGTCTGCCGCATAGGAACTGTAATTGTTATAACTCTACATGATTATATGATATATGATATATGATATGATATGGAATCGCTATGATAAATAAGTCTATATGTGTATAGTTAGTTAGTGTTATTATTATTGATGTGTGTGTGTCTGTAGCCATTCTTATGTTTAACTATTTAATGGCAGTTAGTTAGGCTTAAGCTTGCAAAGATATTCCTTATCTATAATAATTAAAGAAGTTAATTGAAAACTGTGGCCATTATTTTGCAATAACAATACAAAACAAAGGAAGCTACAAGTGAACTACGAACTCAACAGCCATCGTACAATGTGCACAAACAATGCAGAAAGCGAGATAGATAGAGCAGGAGTAAGAGTAAGAGTATTCGGTGTGCCGAATATTTAATACCCTTGCAGATATGTCATATATCACATTGTAAAGCTATTCCGATTGCTCCATAAATTCTATGTAAATGTACTCAAGTCAASTCAAGGATGCTGCAAGGATATCAAATGAATTATATATAAACTAGTAAATGTCTTCATTTCATTCGTATAATTGTGTATTCCTAATTATTTCTTAACAATCAACTACTTCTAGACTCTGTTATATTAAATGTGCAATTTCCATTTTACATTTCAACATGTGTTTTTACAACAAGAGAAATTTGAAAAAAGAGTGTAATTCGGCTTTAGCTTTAGCTTTTATGGCAGCCATTTAATATACATATGTAAAGTCTAGCAATCGATTATGAATATATATATATATATATGAATAATGCATATGCAATTCTATAAGCTATACGCTCGCATATCAAATGCATACATATGACAGATTTCTTACTTTTTTATATTTAATTTTAATTTACAATAGATGTGTTCAAAAATAAAATAAAATAAAAAAAGAAACAAAAATTATATTACATATTACGTAAATATACATATTTTTACAAAAATATACACGAAAAATATTGAAAAAAAAGAATAAAACAAACATTCTGTTTAATTTTTATGAAATTTTATTTTGGTATAACATTGGGTTACTTTTCATATATTTTGTTATTTCTTTTGGTAACCAAGTGCATAGGGCAATAAGAGTAGAAAACACACGCAACTAACTACGTAAAATGTAGCAACAACAACAATATAAAATGAAAATGAAATGCGAAATATAAATAAATTGTAGCAATAATGTTTAGCCTGAACATATCAAATGGATTTAGCTGGCAACGACGAAGTCAGAATTGCGACTGTGAAGCGAAGACACTTACTGAAGAGCTATGCATCTGGTTGGAACGTTGCCTCAACTCTGGACTGCCATGCCAATTGTTTAGCATTTATCATTCCAAATGCTTATCTGCAATACAATACATATACATAAAGAGAAAGAGAGAGAGAGAGAGGGAGAGAAATACAAACACGTATGCAATATTCTAAACTTGTATGTAAATTCCAAATGTCTGACTTGGGCAGACTCGAATGCAATGAATGCGCCCTATCAGACATCAGCATGCACATAAATCAAATATTTCAAATATTTTCTGCGTTTACGACTAAATAATAATCAAAAATTCCCGTCTGACAACATGCACACACACACACCCACACACGCAGACACACTCATACACTTGCATACAAAGATTGAGAGAAATATACTATAAATGGAACAAGCATACATAGAAAATATAACATAAATTTCTATTCCACTTTTGTACAGTGTGTTTACTTTTTGTATCTGTGTGTAAAACTATTTGTATTATACTCGTATTTTGTGCATTTGTATTTGACACAAACAAGCAACAGACTATGTCACTTTTTATACATATTTAACTAATAATGTTTGAAAACGAAATGAAACAAAACAAAATAAAACCAAAACAAATAACAAACAAATTGACCAACAGCAAAACAACTCTACAATCCAACATTTACACAACATACAAACGAAACACACAAAAAATTGTTGAAAAGCCAAAAAATAAAAAATTTAATGAATAAAAAAAATACAAGAAAATAAATAATACTCATAAAAAATTATTACATACGCAGCTACTAAAAAAAACAAAAAGAACACAATCTTAATCAATATTGAATGCCATTAAAAAATATGAAGAAAAACTAAATTAAATGCGAAATTTAAATGTTGTGATACAATTGACATAGTAAATTGCTATAAGCAACAGCAACAACAACAACATAGCATAGCATATAGCAAATACTCCTCGTATATTCGTAAAGTGTACATATTTTCAGTTCTCTCCTTTTTTTCTCTTTTCGCATTTTAAAGATAATTGAGCATAATCAATTATTTTGCCACATTTAACAGATGCAAAAAGCTTTTCAATTTTTTATTCACTCTCTCCATTTTTTTGCCGCTATCTGCATTTTCAGATTTAAATTGAATCAGCGCCTGTGTTTAACGAAGAGAAAAACATTCAATACAAATATATATAATTTAATTTTTTTTATAA